GAGGTTACAACGAGTAAAACGATACCCAACATGCCCAGGTTACAAATTGCGTGCGTCCGTGAAACGGCGAAAAACTGCAGTCCCCCCCAAAGTCCATAGAAGACGCTTTAAAAGCCCCCACAGGTCATCAATTTAGATAGCCCAAAATACTGGCCCTAGAATTATTGCTCTCTCACTCCGGCGTGCGCGGCGATACCCAACATGTGTAGTGCGTTCTCCGTGTTCATACATAGGCGCACCCGACGCGTGTTTACGTGGCGACGCACTGTTGTAAAGCCGACAGTCGTCTTTACAAGTTTAAACAGCACCGACTGTACGTCGTCAGTCACGAAGTGGTTAATTATTAATTACAACTTACAGTGGTCGCTTGAAAAGATTTGTTTACATTGGAGCATGCTGCTACTCAACACAAGGGCTGGTTTACTAAAGGAGTTGAGAATCTGTACTAAATAATAGGGATGCACCGATTAATTGGCCAAAAATTTGCCATTTTCCTGCCGATACATCGGCGCATCCCAGGTTTCTTTCCTCCCCGCTGGGCGCTGCTCTGTGTCCCAGCGGGGGGAGAGAAAGTGACAGCCGGCCGAGCGCTGTGAGCGGCCGGCGACTCCTCCCACACCGCTCAGCCGCCTATCCCAGTCCGGCAACGCAGTGTGGGGGCGGAGACAGCCTGCGCTGTCACAGGAGGATGAGCTCTCCTCCCTGCTCCACTTGCTCAGCCTCCTGTGACAGCGTGTCAGAGAGGAGAGCGAGAGCAAACACTCAGCGATCAGTGATCGCTGAGTGTTTGTAGATAATTGAGGACATGGTATGTGAACTATATCCTCAATTATGAATGAATGGGAGTGATCTGCATCACCACGTTTTTAAAATTTCTATTTCCGTGCACCTCTACTAAATAATCTGTGTGAATATTCACTTCATTTATCCAATTGTGTAAAAAAACAAACCACACAATTTGGTATTCACAATTATTTTCAAATGACTGCATAACTGAAATGAATATTCACACAATTTTGAGTGAAGATTCCTAACTCCTTTAGTAAAATGACCCATTGTGTGGAACGAGGCTTTGCCAGTGGGAAAACTGCTGCTCCAGGTAGCCTACAGACAATACTGCTCCTCAACTATGTTTCTAAATAAATAAAAAGGCTTAAAAGTGTTTTATGCCAGCAATTATTTCTAGTCCCATTTGCTAACTGGTTTATGGAAGTAACTCAGTTTGGCCCCAGGCTTATGTTCACTAATAAAATGAACCTACAAAAATTAGTGCATGCCTGAAAATCAGAAGAATGCTGTCAGATATCTAACAGAGAACCCTCAAAAATTCATCCCAGCGCACTCTTTTATGCACATTTTTTACTTCAGCTTCTGATATAAAGTTGAAGTCTGTGTCTTATACTCATGACTTACTATTGCATTTTTATAAAAAAATGTTTTTAACTTATGATCAATATGTTTGGTATAGCTTGTACTTGAAATTAACCTGTACTTTTTTTATTTATTTAGGCAGAACAGAACAACAGGTTCACTTAATAACTGTCTCAGAGTAAAGGGAAAAGGGCCTGTTTAATATCCAAGTCGATGGGACACTTCCCGGACCATCAGTCCTTGCAACTGGTCACTTAGGCACCCAGTACTGCATCCTGGGAGGTAGAAAAGAAAGTCACATGCCTCCTCATGGAAAAAGTGCCAGACATTTCTCTTTCTTTCTATCAAGGACTGGTTGGCCCCTTTCGGTAACTCCCTGTTAGTTCTTCAAAGAGACTGACTGCCCTAATCTCCATTAAGAGAAGAAGAGGCAGTAAAGCATACAAATATGCATTCTGTGCTGTCTGCATTTATCTGTACATTAAATGATGAGGGCTGATTAAGCACTCTCAGAATTAAAAATTAATTTTCTTGCAAGGCAGACTTTGAGCATAGGTCACCTAAGAGTATAAGAATGCTTTCAAACATAATGATGTAAAATCCAAGGTTAATGGAGCCATAAAATAATCAGCAATGGCTGTATATAAATAAATGTCATTGAACTTCAAGCGTTTAAATGTATGCAACACACAAGGCATATATTGTTAAAATAATAATGTACAATTTACACACAGTAAATTGTAGTTTGTAAAATATCAATGATTTTATTCATGAAAGCCAGCATTGATAAATTGTAGTGCAAGTGGGCACACAATACATAAGGGTGGCAACACAGCTCTGACGTCAGGAGCAGTGCAGTGTCATTGCCAATTCACAGGAAGCTGGCAGGATGAAAAGGTATTTGTGAAACTTTTCAGGGAAGCAAAAGAAAACTGAAAGAGCAGGTAGACTTATAATTAGCTAAGGTTTCATGTGCCTATGTTTTGCCTTCTCTGGTTCCTGTGCCACCCTTCATCAACACGATACGTAGATTTTTAAATGATACCTTCCCATTTTCAATACATACCTTTTTTAGACCCAATTATATTAACACTTAGTCTCTCTGATTCTCTATGGAATGCATGCAAAATCTTAAAGTATAATTAAACTCTTTTTTTTTTTTGCATATATCTGCTGCTAGCAAGCAGTAGATATATGCAAAAACATAAACAAAACAAAAAGGTTATCAAAAAAGGTAAATACTTACCTGTATCTCCGCTACACGCTCTCGTATGAAGAGCTGGAGCTTTGAGCGGATGAGGTGGGCACATGCACAGTAGAGATCTTTGGCGGGGAGAAGAGGAGACACACAGTGTCAAGTCAATGCACGCAGCCTGGAGCGTGCACGTCAGACAGACACCGTGGAACACAGAAAACACAACACTCAGCACTGGATCAGAGACCGGCACCAGCGATGGAGGGACTCCTGAACATGAATGGTATGAAGAGGCATAATTTAAGGTAAGTTCTTAAAAGAGAGCTATGGGGTAAGTGTTTTTCGTCATAGTTCTCTTAAGGATCACGGGAGGACATAAACTAGCGTTCTCCCGTGACCCAAAGCTCAGTATAACGCAAACTATAGCTCGCAGTATACTGAGAACGCCGCAGACGGGACGAACCCCGACATTACTGTTGAGATCCACCCAGCTGCGCGAGTGACAGCTGGCTGTGCCTATCTAGAGGCAGAGCCAGCTGTGCCCGCCCCCTCTCCGTCCGTTCCTCCACTTAGCGCTGGAGGATCGGAGCGGGGAGGGGGGAATCACTGCAGGGAACTGTGATTGACAGTCACGACTCTCTGCATGTTCGCTCACTTCCCGAGCTATTGAGCCGACTGTTACAGTTTCACGATCACTCGTCAGCTTTAACTATGAGGTTGAGTGAATTTAACTCACCTCATAGTTCTCCTTTAAAGCAGCATGGCAGGAAGGGGGAGGGAATTGTGACTTTAATGTCACTTTAAGCACATACAATACATTTAGCAGTGCAGAAGCTACATACCTCAATATCAACAAGAGTATTTTTTATTTATTACAGGTATTTATATAGCGCTGACAATTTACACAGTGCTTTACATAGTTGCCCATTCACATCAGCCCCTGCCCTCAAGGAGCTTACAATCTAAGGCCCCTATCTCACATGCATACATACTGGGGCTGATTTAGACAGGAGCCAATAAACCTTCCAGCATGTCTTTGGAGTGTGGGAGGAAACCGTAGCACCCTCAGGAAACCCTACACACAGGGAGAACATGCAAACTCCTTGAAGATAGTGTCCTGACTGGAATTTGAACTGGGGACCCTCAGTACTGCAAGGCAGAGGTCCTAACCACTATGCCACTGTGCTGCCCACAAGTTGAACTTCTAGTACATCTGACTGACTAGGGGTGAATAGGCAAACTTAAATGATTGAAAATACAACTGGTGCCCCGACTCAAGTCAAATGTACCAAATTTTATTTATCAAGTACAGAACATCAAAGATGCTTAGATTTACAGTTTACTATCACCATTCCACCATTCCATTGGTTTCACACTTTAATGTTTAATCAGTATAGCTTTACTCACCCTTGCCAAAGCAATTCGTCATTAGCCAGGTTTTGCCATACGCATGATGCCAAACACAGGTCAGTGGCATTAAGATAGGATAAAATAGTAAGGCTTAACTCTGGTGGCAGCATGTCAAGATTAATGAATCCTTGTTCATCCTTTGCTCTTCTAGCTTTCAGCAGATGGTAGAGATCTATGCCACCCTGGGCATGTCTTCCATTGCTTATATTGTTGTCATTATCAGTAGACAGGTAGCTCTGATCTATATATCCTTGCTGAAACTGGTGGTTTCTTGCGACTCTCCAAAGCCCTTGACCCATCTGTGAACCCTAGTAGACACAAACATAAGCAATATTAGAACAAAGTAATTACAATGGAATTCCTTGCAACGGTCTCAATTTCATTTTATGGGAAAGTCTGGGCCTATGAATATGCAGGACAGAGATTCTAAATTCTGCTCACTGAAGGCTCTCTACAGCCTAATTATGCACAACTCCGAATATCCAGAAAAAAATATCCATGCCCCTGCAGCCTACGGCTAGCAATGCTTTTAGAGATGCAGATCAGAGGGGAAACCTGCATACCACAGAATGAGCGTCAAGACTAGGTGGGCTCACACAGAGAAACTGCAAAACCCCAGCTCAAAATGACTGTAAAGGAAAATGGGGGATGTACATAAAACCCAGAGAATGTTTAGTGTAATGACTTAACCACAGCTGCAATTTTTCCCCTCGCCAGTCTACTGAATGATTTTACTATCTGTTGTTAAGGCTGTGCACAGTGCAGTATGCTAAGAGCAGCTTTTGCCCGCTATTGTAAATGAAGGCTGATGTGGTCTGCATTACTTCTGCCACATTGCATATGTATAAAGCAAAGGGAAAACACTGGAGTATACAAGGAGATTGTGTGCCTAATGTCTTTTTGTGTGCTTAAACTTGTACACATCAACCAGAAATGATGGCAATGCAATATTTCACATAACATTTCCTTTTCTAACTCTGTGCCGAATCTGACAGTAGGGGCAAATAATTAACAGGGTTATCAGGTTTGGCAGGAGAGGCAATTTGCATATTCAAGAACTGAGCCAATCTTAGCAAGTATTGGAAAACAATTTGTATATTTGCACATCCCAGATAGAGTGGCTTTGCAAATGTATATTTCACTTTTGGCCTAATCCACATCTCTGTTTTAACCTGACATAAAGAACACCTCTACTTGTAAAACCTATCCCTGCATTCAAATGTGCAGCTGACTTCCTTGCTACCTTAACCAACCCACAGGATCCCAGGCCAACTATCAGTAGGGCTTGAGGTTTCTGACTTTGGAGGTGAGCCATGTTCACCCAGAAGTCAATCCACTGTTCAGTGAAAACCTTCAGCAGCCAACAGCAGAACTCTCCCTGCATAGTGCGGAGAGCTTAGCTTCATGTGATAGGCACTCTGAAAATAATTTTCAGGCTAATTTATTTAAATCTAGCTGTTTTGGTTCCTGCTTCGTTTTAAAATGCTGGAAATGTTCACAAATTCACTGTAAGAGTGGACCTTTCTTTTACATAAAAAGTTACTACAGTGAAGTGATGAGCTGCTCTATATAATTCTTTGAATGTGTCTAAAACCAGTTCAATGTGCAGGAATAACTTATAAATATTTTACAAATGTGTTCCAGAAAGTAAACTTTGCAGAACAGTTTTTGTGCAAGACAAAGTCTTTGAAGAGCCCCCTCTCAGCCCTTGCATAAAATGGGCAACATGTTGAATTTTACAGGTGCATTGTGAATACAGAATAACATATGTAATCTTAAATATGAAGACATTGCTTGGATGAAGTTTCCTAAATCTTTGAATGTCAACTCAATATGTATTATTTTACTTAAAGCAGAACTATGGGGTTAGGGCTTTTCCCCATAGTTCTCCTAAAGGTAACGTGAGGACACAAACTAGCGTCCTACCATCACCCAAAGCTCAGTATACCGCGAGCTACAGCTCGCGGTATACTGAGACGCCGCAGCTGGAACAGATCCCGACAATTATGTCTGGATCCACCCAGCTGCTTGAGCGACAGCTGGCTCTGCCTATCCCGAGGCAGAGCCAGCTGTACCCGCCCCCTCCCCGTCCATTCCGCCAGTCAGCGCTGGCGTATCGGACAGGGGAGGGGGTTATCCAGTCCCTCCCCTGCCACCGCTCTCTGCAGTGACAGGATCGAGAAGTGAGCGAGCACCGGTATGTGTTCGCTCACTTCCCGATCTAATGAGCCGACCTGTGACAGTTTCATTGTCACAGGTCGGCTCAGATTATGAGGCTGAGTGAAAATCACTCACCTCATAATTCTCCTTTAAGCTAAGTGATTAAAGTTCAAAAGCACTGTATGAACCTGGTAAAAGGACATATGCAGGGAGCTCCTTTGCTGTACCGGTTTTTAAAAACTACCTGTAATGCACTTTTTGAAAAGGAGAGAACTGCTGTTTAGATTAAAGTCCAACTGAGCTGTCAGATTAAATGAGCTAAATTCATTCCAGCAATTTGCAGAGCGGGACCATTGCTCTCTGTGAAAAAGAAGTGATCTCTTTGTAGACATTTGACGTGCCCCCTACTGTGCCAGAGCTCTCCAATAAATGGACCTCTGCAATGAGACCATTGCTTTCCAACAGACTGCAACGGTCCCACTCTGCAGCATTCTGGCAGGGGACAGGCTTCTCTACCCGTGCTGTGGCTGGCTTGGAAAGAAAACAGACTGTAAGACATTGAACACCTTTTGTGTTTGATGGAGCTGGCATATTAGTAGATTTAAACTGAAGGTTCAATTCACCATGCATGCCTCACCACTAATCAAAGCAGAAATATCTATTCCTTGCCAGCGTCACACTTCTGGCATAGGTTAGGGCAAAGCTCAGATATATCTTTGGAGTTGGACTTTGGATTTCAGGATTAGAATGCGGTGTTACACTTTAAGATACAGCAGACAAAATGGAAAGGGACACTGATAAATCATGCATTGTTTAAACAAAGTGTCAACTATGACTTGTTGAAATGTTTTGCACTACTAATGGAAATCTTCCAAGCACAGGCAGGATGAGAACCTTTCTGCATTCAGCAAGTAGACTTTTGCATTGTCAGAATCCCAATTAACCAAATATCCTCCATATCACTAAAAAGAAAAGGATCACATATCATGACAAGGCTCAGTTAATGTAAAATATAGAAATACAGTATATATATTAGGGCTGGTAATGATGAACATTTTCCTGTTCAATTAATCAAAATTTTTTTTAATCGATTAATTTCGAGTAATTATAATGCACATACAGATCCAACTACATTGGCCTATACACATACAGCACAGCAATGAAGTAATAAAATGAACTAGGATCACACTAATCCAGCACGTTATTAATCTCAGGTGCCCCACTCAATATGGCCGCCGCTTGAGTGGGGCAACTCAGAATAATAACGTGCTGGATTAGTGTGATCCTAGTTCATTTTATTACTTAATTAATTGCTGTGCTGTATGTGTATAGGTCATTGCCAGGGATCCCAACGTGAAATAAGCAATTTCAGGGAGGTGAGTAAAAAGCTTTTAAAGCATCGCCTATGCCAATTTTCGGTGTGGCCGTTTTTTTGCAATTTTAAGGCTTGAGATGTTTGGTGTTTATTTACCCGACGTGACCTCATCTTTTATATTTTACCAAATATATGGATAAGAATAAATGTTTTTTTAACATAAAAGTAGAGAAAATATTTCTTTCCCCCCAAAAAATTTACGGTACTTTTTAAAATTATATAGTAAAAAATAAAACCCCAGTGGTAATTATATACCACCAAAAGAAAGCTCTATCTGTCCCTAAAAAATGTTAACATAAATTGCAAGCCTATAGTCCGGTCATGCTGACTGGTGACATTTTTGACAGACTGGTGAGGCACCCTAAAATTTTTCAAGCCCTGGTAATTGTGCTATATCTTTTTTTAAGCAGTGGTATGACTAAGGTTTGGCTGTTCTACTGCTTTATAAATTGCCCAACCAGAGTAGCAAAAGTAACCATACATCTGAGGTTTTCTATATGCATACATACAGGTGAAGACAATAACTTACATAGAGCCGAGACCCTCTTGTATATGTAGTATCAGAGCAGAGGCTATATGTTTTTGATCTAAAGCTGATCAGCTGAAGCTGATCTAAAAGCCAATTAAAAGAAATAATAGTGTAGTAAAGTTGGATATAAAAGGTGATAACTCTTTAGTCTCTCTAAGATTTTACTATAATCTGATACATTATATCACCTCTGGCTAGACTTGCTCTTTCACAGCAAATACTATGCACATTACTTCTGTTTGTCGAATTATTCTAATACATCTCCTAACAGATGAAATTTAAACAAAAAGTCAAAATCCTTCTAAACCATCTACAATATAAAGGCCTTTCAGATCATGTAAAATGTTTACATGGGTAGACACAGTTTGACTGAAGGGCTACTAAAAATAGATCATAGGCAATCTGATCTAAAGTGAGAGCCAGCCAAGGCCACTAACACTGGAGTTCTGAACAAGTGAGACACTGTGCAGACCTCTCTGTCCTATACATTTGTGACAGCCTAGGGAGGTGAAATGAGGTAGTGGCTGTTTACATTTGAACAAGAGTACAATGCTGTTTAGATGGCAGAGGAAAAAGGTACAGTAAACAAATTCAATTGCCATAGCCAATAAAGACGGAACTAGACTGAAAGCTAATCTACAAAATTAGGTTTCTAAAAATATTTCATATCACAGCAGCAAAGTGAGATTCTAAAAACATTGTACACGATGTACAAGACTCTGTAGGCAGAATTCTGTCACCTGTCAAGCCGTATCAAAAGAAAAGAACCTTCCCCAAAGATTATTCAATTATTCAAACCTACAATGAAGCATTAAAGGAGTTGACCCCGGAACACAACCCCCCGCTTGTACCTTTCAAAAAACCTGGGGATTACTTCTGCAAAGGACATTGGAATAATGGTCCTCCCTTCACAACTCTTTATATTAAAGTAACCCCATCATCAAAGTCCAAATAAAAGTATTGCCTGTAAAGAAGAAATGAAATACCGACCTCCTGCTGCCTGCCAAATGCCGCACCAGTGCAGAGTAATCCCTGGCTGCAGTCCTCTTCAGAAATTGGTACCAGCGTCCATCTCCTGGCCACCCACAGCATCCACACAGTTGTTCCTTCCACCAACTCCCACTTCACTACTGTGTCCCTCACAATTTTTTCAGCTCATTACAAAATGCAGCCCCCACAGTATGTTCCTTAAAACTTTTTTTGGCTGTAGTTCTCTTTTGGTTCATAGGATTTGCTAATGAGGCTGCTATATGCTGACAGCAGAGAGATACTGCAGCCAGGAAGTATCCTGACAATATAGTCCACCCCGCTGCTTGATAGCTGGCTCTGCCTCTCTAGAGCCAGCTGTGTCTGCCCCCTCCAATGAGTGCTGGAGGAACAGAGAGAGGGGAGAATCCCTGCAGGGGAGCGGTGACTGACAATCACCTTTTTCTGCAGGGAGCAGGCCGTAAGCTGAGCGATCAGTGATTTGTAATTGCTCAGATCTTGATCTATAGAGCCAATGTGTGACAGCTGCAGTGTCTCCAAGTATTGGCAAGAGTACATTTTACTCTCCCAATACTTCCCCTTTAACTCATCAGTCCTAATAGTCTGCAATAAACGACTCTCATGCCTGCAGAACTATGTCCCTAGACATTTGGTCCACAAAAAGACTTAAGGTTAGGCCTACACTTGCGACTAAATCTCTTTGCTACTCAGAGATTTCATTACCTGTTGGCTGTATCCTTGTTTGCAACACATTTAAATCAATGTGCTGCTAATTAGATAATTCACAACAAGTAGTAGGCCAGTATAGACCTAGCCTAGTCTTCAGATCACTTACACAAAAGTGAGCCCCCAGCTTTGTGCCAACCACAAATTGAGGTGAACGCAAGGCTGTGTGTATATTGCAATAAAAGTGTTGTATACTTACTTCACACAGCAATCAGTAGTGTAGCTCCACAGCCCCTTAGTGTGTGTGCATGCTCTTCTAGTGGTCTTCCCTCACTGGCCAGTTACAATGCCCCTCATTCTATGTTCTGTAAAAAAACAAAAACAACATAAAAATATTACCTAAAGTGCATCTAACCCAATAACAACAATGAAAACATTTAATACATTTCAGTTAACAGTCCTTAGATGTCAAGCTTGCAATAGTTTTCATTTTTTAATCTTCGTTACCCCTTTATTTTCACCTTGTGATCCTGCAAGTAACACAGTTCCTGTCCTTAAACGAGAACGCTCACCCACTGTGCAGTATCTGGAAAAGCAGCATTGTCACTCCAGGATGCTCACTCCCGATTTGGATTACAGAACAGCTCCCCCTCTCATCTCCATAACATGGGGGGTTCTGTAGTCAACAGAGGTGAAGTGGGCAGGGCAGAGAGTACAGCAAGTTACGTGTTCCCTGGATTTCTAGCAGGTTTTTTTTTTTGCACTTAAAATATCAGAAAAGACTTTTAATGTTATACTGAACAGATCAAAATGAAGCAAATTAAAGAGTTTTATTATTAGGGTTTACATTGAATTTAAATATGATTGTAGGTTAAAAATATACATCATGCTCAACACAAATACATTGCTAGGAATTGTTAGAAATTCCCGTCACATTTTTTCCAAAAGTAAATATTTAGGCCTGATTCACACCTAGGCATCAGCGTTTTGGCGTGTAGAAATGTGCTTCTTTTGCTGTGCGTTTTTGTGTGCGTACATTAAGTCGCGTGATTTTATGACCAGATTGTGACGCATTGATGTAAATGGAAAAAACGCGTAAAACCAATTGCAACACAGATCTAAGCGTTTTCCTATTGACTCTATGGGGAGAAAATGAGTTGTAATCTGCCAAAAAGAGGCTCATGTACTTTTTCCAGCGACAAGCGTTTTGCTTATTGCGCTAAAACGCTCAGGTGTGAACAGGGGCTATAAGAATGAATATGAATTTTTGGGGGAAGCTTTTTGTCGCACTGAGGGCTAGTTGACACCAGCCACAGTGCTTTCCGGCCCGATTCTGGTCGGAACGCACTGGACTGCATTGCAGTCAGTTCACTTTGTCGGGGGAGGTGCATTAAAGTGAATGGCACTGCAGCCACGCCCTCCGGCCGCACCAGAATGCGTGGCACATCAATGCTTGCGTTCCAGTCCGGTAAAAAAAATAGTGCTTGCAGCATTTTTTCTGACTGGAGCGGACCGGACCGCAGCCATTCATGTGCCTTGCGTTTCTGTGCAGTCGATCGCATTACGGCCGGAGGGCGTGGCTACGGTGCCACTGAGTTCACTGCCACGCCTCCTCCCACAACATCACGTCTTTAAAAAAGAAATCAAGGCAACTGGACTTGCTGTATTTTTCTTGAAGACGTTTCACTGGTCATCTGACCAGCTTTCTCAATCAGTCATTCGGATGACCAGTGAAACATCTTCAAGAAAAATACAGCAAGTTCAGTTGCCTCGACTTATTTTTACAGATATGTCTCAGGTTTGTAACAAGCTGTGAAGAGAACAAGAACATAAAACACAGAGGGGAGGGACCTGTGTCACTAAATAAAGGATCTTACAGCGAGTACAAAAATACAATTTGCTTTCTGGTTCATTGAGGGACACAGGATTCAGAGACAATTGGGGTATCCAAAAGCAGTCCAAGTGAGGGGTGAGCAATTTAGTAACAAAATACTAACAGGTCCAACTATGAAAACAGAAGAAGCAATTGGAGGCTGCTCGCAGCTCACAGAGCTGACTGAAGGACCTGTGAAAAGGTTAGAATAGAATTCCTGAAACCTTTCCGATACAGGAACTGAGGAGATATCTGCTCAGGCACACAGAAAGATTGCAAGACACAGTGAGGAGGGGGGTGGGATCAGCATACTAGTTTAAGGCCTATAGAAGTCACCTTCTGTTGGTGGGCATCTGGGATGACATCTTTCCAAGTATCTTTGGAAAGTAGGGCCGTCCCTTCATGCCAATGAGGACTTGTCTGAAGGTTTGGGGAATTTGGGGGCCCAGGGGGGGAAACTGGCCTCTTGCCTTAGGTTTTGCCTCAGAGGCTGAAGCCTGGTAGTAATGAAAGGAACTCCCCTTTTCTCAGAGTAGGAGTGATTTTTCCCAGCTTGAGGTCTAGGCTTCTTCTGCTGGGAAACATGGGTACTCTTATCACCAGCTACATCCTTGATGAGGGTGCCCAAGGCATAATAATAAATTTCCTCAAAGGGCATGTGCAGTTAACACGTCTTACCTGTCTATGCCGCAGCCCAACATTTTCACCAAAATGTTCTCTGCATGTTAACGGAGGAGATGCATATGGGGAAAAAAAAGAAAGACAGGAAACATTCACTAACCCATCTACACAGCAATGCGTGACTGTTGACATGAACTTGAATCACACAACATATAGAGGATTAGTGTGGAGTAAAGTTTGATCCCTTGCCATTAGTTTAGTCCATTCCCGTAATATTTGATATACCAACATCACGGTACTGGCAGGTTGCAATGCAGGGCCTGCTAGTATAAACAAAGCAAGAGTCTCCAAATGTTTATCTATGGGATCCTTAAATACTGCCACATCCTCTACAGGAATTATCCTTTTTAAATGTTTTGGATAGAGTGGGTGTCAGAGACCATCTGTTAGTGGGCATGCGTGGAGTCCCATTTTCCATACCATTGGAAAACGGACACTTGCGCGAACGCCACGGAACGGCAGCAGAAAAGCGAGCCAAACGGTGCACAGGAAGTGACACAATATGCTGATGGATCACACCATTTAAACCCAGCCCTCCTGTCTCCAAATTGCTGGATTGTCTTTCAGCTCCCGTGTTCCTGCGATTCCTTGCCTTGTATTGCCAGACTTCCGACCCGGATTTGTTTTTGACCATTCTTGTTTGCTGCCTGACCCTGACCTTGGATCGTTACTGGACTTTGCCTCTGCTTCATCCCTTTGTACCTTGCCTGCCCGTCTGGTGTGACCTTGGCTCGTTTGACATTGAATTTGGATCTTGCCCTGCTCTGCAACCAGCACCTGGACTCCAGCTTGCACGGTGTTACCACCACTGGCACTCGTGCCACTCGCTGTCTGCTTGGACTTTGTCCCCAACTCCAGAGTCCTTGTGATATGAGGTGCAAGGGAGGCCTCCTCATACATTCCGTCTCCAACCAGGTACGTGACAGTGGGGGAGAAATAGATCCTCTGCTGTCTGTGTGAGATAATGGTTCTGGGGGGGAAGGCACTGAGGTACGCTTATTTCCACCACAAGCTCAGTGACCAAAGGTCACATTCCAGGCTGGCCCCACAATTGTCCAGTCCCATGGCTCTGGGTACAGCTTCCAAAACTATTGTTGAAGATACGCAGGTCCGGATAGCCGCAGAGACAAGCTCAAGCAGCTTGAGAATGAAGTATTGATTGAAAAAAATGGCAAGCAATAGCGGTTAAGCGCTGTCCACATTTGTACGCCGCAGGAACTCACGCATTTCCGCAACACATGCAAGCACGCGTGTTGTGTATTGGTGGCCTGCCGTTCTATGAACAGCACTTTGCCAACAAGCGTGTGTTGCAGCTCACCACAACACATAGCAATGCATTACAAAAAGGTATATGCACCTTTTTTAGTTGGGTTTGGTGCCGTGGCAGGCCCATTGAAAGAAATGGGCTGTCTAAGTGCAATGCAAGTTAATGCTCTTCAATGTGCGTTAACTTTCTGCAGTGCACAGATGAGAACCTAGCCTTAAATTCACCTCATTTAAGAAAAGACGGTAATACGCTTAGTACACTGAGAAAATTGAGGCATGCTAGGAGAGGGAGGGGTATACCAGGCTAGCCCAAAACCTCCCATAGGCTGCAGTATAACCCAACTGTCTCTGAATCCTGTGTCCCACAAAGAAAGACAGAAATACAATTTTGGCTGGAGTTGGTCTTTATCGTTACAGTTATTAAACCGTGCAGCATGCTTTTGCCAGTACTAGCCAGAGATTATGTGTTGCTACCACAGTCTTCATGTTTTTTCCAGAGATTCTTGGTTTTTATTTTAGAGAAAGAGTCAGTCTGTGTTGTCAGGTTTTATTCTGGACAATAAAGTGAAACAAGAAAGCCCAACATGACTGCTTTATGCGGCATCCCTCAGACAGGAAGCAGTCTGGAGAATTTCAGCTTGAGCAGTGTTTATAAAGTCTGCCTGAAACACTTGAAAGACAAAAAGCTCATGAAGGGGACTTTAGCTACATCCTGCTTTCCTAGATTTTCATTCTGAAGGAGAACTGCTGAGTGTGCAACTGCTGTAATCCTAACTATGGCTATATTAAATAATTATAATCTCATGAAAAATGCAATCATATTTTTTTTTTTACTGCCCTGATGACAAACCTGCATTTACACATACAAACCGCTCTACAGCAGTAAAGCTGGGGGCACACATAGACCGCATGACCTATTCTGTTCTGATAATCTCCAAACCTTCCAGACACATTATCATCCAATATATAGAATTTATATAGCTAAATGAACTGCATGTATTTCAGACTTTGCATTTATATATTTTACAGCTGACTGTATAAAATAGTCATGGCCTTAATCTTGTAACTATATACTGTAGCCATGCAAGTGCTCATGTGGGTACAATACGTTTGTTCTATCCAATCAGGGGTGGCATGTTAAACTAATACTGCAGTGTTAAATCATATCCAACCCCAAAAGCAAAAATATTATATAGTGCAGCTTACCAACCCATAAATGTGGTGACTGCTTTCATTTTCCTTTTTTAAGCTTTTTTCCCCTTTGTTTCACCGGGCGATCCGGCCAGTAAGTCTGTTATTTTTCAGCCTACTTTAACCTCCCTGGCGGTCTGATTATTTCCTTTTTTTGTTTCTATTTTTTCTACTTTTAAATTTCCCGCCGGTTCGGCACCTCTGCGACGCGGACGCTCGCAAGGGTTAGAACCCGGAAGACGGATGCCGGCATCGGCCGGGGGACACAGCAGGGATCGTAGACATGTAAGTAACACGCTGTGTAATCTCGAGTGTTGCTCGGGGTTACCGCTTTTGGTACTGAAAATTTACCCC